CAAATGCCATTAATGCTGACAATCTTATTATCTTATACGATAATTTTAATTGTATGTCTCTTTCTGCTCCTATATTGTAAACTGTATATTTCCTTAGAATTGTTTAAATAAAAGACAATAAAACGGTACATATGAGTTGTTCATTAATCCCATCACCACCTTCCTCCCAATTCCTATTACCTTATTTCTTCTTTAAAAAATCTGTATAAATAAGTACAATAATAACCATGTAATTAATTTTTTTAATAAAAATGATATTTTAATTTATTCTTGTATCAACAACCTCGAAACTTGTGAAACCATAGTCTCTGTTCATAAATTAATATCAATATTCTAAAAATTACATGAATTGGTAACGTATGCGTAAGAGACCCCGTGTGTGTAAGAAAGTGGGATCATAGAACCCCCGGAGCAAGCGTAAGAGATCCTGTGTGTGTGAAATATTTATGTTTTATATTTTATATTAAATATTTAAATGAATATATAAAGTATAGTATTGTATTTTATTCTCTTTCAACGCAGAAACAACTTTTGTGTTGGGTATCAAGGTTAGGAAAATATAATTCGATAGAAGGAAGTATCGATACTTTTGTTTTAATACCGAGTAAGTATCGATACTTTTGTTTCGATACCGAGTAAATATCGATACTTGTGTTTCGATACCGAGTAAGTACCGATACCTTCATACAAAAATACTTTATGAGTAAAAGTATCGATACCTTGGTGGTATCGATTCAACCCTACTTGAAGGTGTCTATTTTTATACCGGCGGAGGAGCGGGACTGATCTTTCTGCCATCTGTGAACCAACAAGAAAATTCTTTATACAAGTTGTCTTGTGCGCGACCTCGACTACGGAATACGGATTTGTGTGTTCTAGAAGGAATGGACGGTGATGGACGGTTGTTTCTATGATGTCCAGTGCAAAAGGTATTTTTGTATATCGTTAACCGATCGAATACTAAATTTCTTGTCAATATCTTCCAGTCAGCAGCTGGGTAATAATGCTCGATAAATTCTCTGCTCTAGCCTTGTGCGTACCTTGTCATAACTTGATTATTTGTTCAACGTTCTTTTACACTCTGTTGTTTTACCATGGTTCAAAGTCTTCTGAAACTCAACACTGTTTATCTAAATATGATGATCTTTCAAAACATCTACCTTATAGCTTGTATATGATTTGTATTACTCATAAAGCTGAAGTATTATTATAATGCTACTATGTATAAAAGTATGCAGACATACCTGTAATTGTAATTGCACTTACATTATTGTTTTGCATATCCTTATAGGTAACTGTATAACTTTCATATCAATTGAAGTTTCCAAGAAACCTGCAAATACAAGTTAAGAACATTACTTCTATTTAATACAAAATAATTAGGCAACATGCTCTCCAATTGTGCTGATACAATTGACCCAGCTGGTAATTATTATTGCAACATGTATCTGTTTAAACAATATTTGAAACTTACAGTCATGTTTTCCAGCTCCTTTGCAACCAACTATAATAGAAGGTATCTCTAGTACAGACAGTGTTGGTACTCACAGTGATATTTCTGGGCATACTACCATCTCTGGAAGGCCCAAAATGGATGTAGCTTGTGTTCTGGACCTGCAACAACCAGAGCACTTAGCTCAAAGAAAAAGAGCCTTAGAGGAAGTCAGACAAGCATGTAACCTAGTTAATGCTAATATACATCATATACAGGTATAATTTAAAAGCTTACAAGCCCAAGTAACAACACATTATATAATGGCATTGTACCATTTTATATTGAGTCCTTAATTATTTGTATTTGTGTTGTCAGTTTGAGAAGCTAGATTTTGGGGAAACAAATGTACTTGATACATTTTATAATGCAGATGTAGCTGTTGTGGATTTAAGTATACAGTTACAGCAATCTGCTTTATTTTATCACCTGGGTGTCAGAGAAAGTTTTGGAATGAAAGAAAACATTTTATTACATAATGATGTAGACACTGAAACAACAATTAGACTCAAGGTACATGTAGTTTTGTGACAGAGATTTATACAGAAGAAATTTTAAGTTTTGTACAATACAAAGATTATACTCAATTTTGCAGTTATCATGCGGCAGCTATACATTTGTTTCATATCGTGTAGTGGACTGTGGTTCATGTGTAGCTACTAATCCAGCTACTACTAGAATTACTGGGGAAGAAGTGATAGATCCAAAGCAACATCTTACATTGAGACTGAAAAAGCTGTTTCAAGATGTTGAAGTACAATCTAAGTACGGTTTGACATGCGTTTTTCTTGTAGATAAGAAACGAAAACATGTTATTTTTAAGTCTTTAATGTATTATCGGAGAGAAGTTCATACTTCATTTTCTTATCTTATTGTTTTGTACATAAGATTATGTTCAATTACGGAACTACCGACTAGTCGGTATATAGTGAACTTGAAATTATCTGAAGCATGGATGTACTAATGTGGTGTCTCATTCTTTGTTAATAAATGGTCTAATTTTTGCAGAGCACACATGAAAGAAAAGTTCCTGGCAGATTTACGCAAAGCACGGGAAACATATTCGGGCGAAGAACTTTCAAAAGCATTGAACAATATGCGAAAGCGTTTGGATGATCCGAATGTTTTATCTGGGGAGGTTGTCTTGAACGTCCTTATTTCTTTCCGCGAGATACAGGTTACGAATCACTGTATTTTATTGTCAAAAATATATTATGAATAGTCATCATTGATCTTCCTGCTATATCTTCAGGACTATGATGCAATGGTACAATTGGTAGATGATCTGAGAACTATACCAACACATAAAAATTACATTAACACGCCGGCTATTCGGTACCTATACGCATTTGCTCTCAACCGACGGAACAAAGAAGGTGACAGAGAAAGGGCATTAAAAGTTATAGAGAAAGCTCTGGAGAAGAAAGAGAATCATGTTCCGGACATGCTATGCTTGTGTGGAAGAATATATAAAGATAAATTTGTAGAAAGCAGACACACGGATGAAGAGAGTTTGAATAATGCTATACATTGGTATAGAAAAGGTTTCGAGGTATGATGAATACTTACTTCTCTGTTTGAAACGAAAGATCGTCAAATTACACAACTGCTTGTCTAATTATACACTTATTGCTATGTTTAGGTACAACCAAATGAATATGCGGGAATAAATCTCGCCACGCTGCTGGTTATAGCAGGGAACGAATTTTCAAAAAGTGAGGAATTGCAACACATAGGAATGGTCTTGAACAATCTTATTGGCAAGAAAGGTAGTTTGTCGAGTTTAAAAGATTACTGGGATGTGGCCACGTTCTTTGAGATCAGTGTATTGGCTGAGGATTACTCGAAAGCTATTCAAGCCGCCGAGTGTATGTTCAAGCTGAAGCCGCCAAACTGGTAGATATCAATTAATTATCGAGTATTCATGTATGTGTGTGAAAATTACTTAATTCTAACGAAATATTTTATCTGTAGGTACCTGAAATCAACAATAGGGAACATATCGCTGATAGATCGGTTTCGTAAAAAGAATGAAGAAGCCGAGGTATCGCCGGAGGAGCAAATATTTAGTTTTTGGATGGACTACTTTGTCGAAGCGACGAAATCGGAAGTTGGAGATAGTATACGGTTTCCAGTAAGTTGATAAATGGAATCGTTCTACAAAGGATCCAGTTTCCAATTCGGGAGACTATGGCTTATAATATTGTGTTACCAATCCAGCTTACTTCTGTACATTTTGGGTCAAAGTAAGAATAATATAAAACTGCTCTTAGTGCAGATCCTTAGCTTGACTTTAATGAATCAGTATTTTAATAAGATGTGTGTTCAATGAAAAGATGAATTTAGTCACCGACCTTTTACTTCCAGCTCTTAGTTTTGGAGCCGACGAAGATCTTCATGCCGAGCTACGTAAACGTTAACCTTGGGGCAGAAGAGAAGTCCGTCCAAATTTGGAATTTATGCATGGATAATATGAAGAACAGTTGCAAGCAAGTTCACGATTGGCTTTTCACAGCGAATATGATACGCAGTGTAAGTCTGTACAAACGCGATGAACGCTGCCTTTTTTTATACGTTCATCAGAACTCCGATGATTTCCAAATGTACTTCCCCTCTGTCCAATGCAGACAGAGGTTCTATGATTTAATCCTGGAAATGACCAGAGACCAAGAAGGCATGGTTACTGATTTGGATGCCTACATGACTGATGATAGAATGAAGGTTTGTAGATACGTCACATTTTTTTATCAGACAGGTTTTAATCAGATTCCATTTGTTACCATTTGTTTGATTACAGTTTGAATATGAATCAGACGACCAAAATAAACGAATAATACTGGGCAAAGGTACATACGGTGTAGTATACGCGGCTCGAGATCTGAACACTCAAGTTAGAATCGCGGTTAAAGAAATACGTGAACGAAATTTAGGGGATGTACAACCTCTCCACGAGGAAATAAAGTTGCACAGTCAACTAAGACACAGGAATATCGTACAATACCTTGGCTCAGTAAGCGAAAATGGGTACTTCAAGATATTCATGGAGCAAGTTCCTGGAGGTAGGAAGATAAAATGGAACATTGTACAGAAGAAATGTTCGATGGATTTACTTTTTCGTGATTATTCTAGGAAGTTTGTCAGCTTTATTAAGATCAAAGTGGGGTCCATTGAAGGAAAACGAATCTACAATTGCTTATTATACCAAACAAATTCTAGAAGGCCTAAAGTATCTACATGATCAAAAAATTGTTCATCGAGATATCAAAGGTAAATACCGTACAATATGACGAAGTTGAAGTATTAGTGCTCTCGGAAACTCACTGTACTGTTACTTTTAGGTGACAATGTTTTGGTGAACACATACAGCGGGGTAGTGAAAATTTCCGACTTTGGCATGTCAAAGCGATTGGCTGGTTTATGTCCTAGTACAGAAACATTTACTGGAACTTTACAGTACATGGCACCGGAAGTTATTGACAAAGGACAGCGTGGATATGGTGCTCCGGTAAGTTGCATTTTCTATATGCATTATTTTTTAAGCACAATACAAATATATCATATTACACCTAACCGGAAATGTAGGCAGATATTTGGTCTTTGGGTTGCACCATAGTTGAAATGGCTACTGGTAAACCGCCGTTTATTGAACTGGGATCCCCTCAAGCTGCTGTTTTTAAGGTAAGATTTTAGAAGTATTTAAAAATTACATAGTCACAGATGTGACTTAAAACAATGTCTTAACAGGTTGGATACTACAAAATACATCCAGAGATTCCATCAGAACTGTCTGAAAGAGCAAAAAGTTTCATATTGCGTTGCTTTGAACCAAATCCTGATATAAGAGCAACTGCAGCTGAGTTATTAGAAGATCCATTTTTAAACGAGTATGTAATATATTATATAAATCAATCGCTATATAAGCAAATACAAATAATGGTTTTTATATTCATGCATATAGGAAAAAGAAAACCAATCGACTGGCGGCCCCACCAGATTTCAGTCGTAGCATTTCGGTACCTGCTGATAGACTCGAACGTTTAGGAAAATCTGATAAAACAAATAATAATCATATCGTTTCTGCAACTCCTATACAAACTTCACAGTCGGATGATAGGTAAATATAAACATTTCCTTACATAATATTTCATTATATGTAAACAGCCTCGTCGTTGCAAGTTTTGAATATTATCGGTTTATTGTCTTGCTTTATCATTGAAAACAATACTTTCATGTTCATATTAATATAGCTTTTGTGCTAGTCGATGCTATTCTAGATAAATAGTATATTTGTTTAGTTCGTAATAAATCTGAATACATTGAGTACAATGTATTTGAGTTAGTTCCATTATGATATTATATCTTTTGTAATAGCTGTATCATTACTTTCTTACCAAGTCTGTATTACGACGAAATATAATCAAAGTGTTACATACAGTGGAGGGCTGACAAAGTCGAGCCCACTGAGGGAGCGCAGTCCGGCACACCTTCTGTCTCCCATCAGCATGCCCTCTGCAACCTTATCTTTTAACAGGTATGGTACTAACGTCATAAAAAGTGAATCCTGTCCACGAAAATTGTAACAAATACCAATAATACAGTAATAGTTAATATAAAGTTACCAGTAACATTAGATGTACTGTGTATTTTACCCATACTAGTAATGCAATGATTTGTGTCGTTACGCATTCATATACTAGGGGCAATGGAATTTCCTGTTTGTAATTGTAATATATGCAATCGAAAGTAAGCTTCGCAGTGAAAAACCAGCGGGTGAAACATCCCTACGCCATTTTAATCTCCCTTGCATAAGTGTATGTACAGGGTGTTTCATTAGATGGGGACATATTTTCCAAGCAATTTTTTCATCATTTCTGTTGTCTAGTTTGCTCTAAAGTTATGTCTACATGTTATTAGACAATAATACTATAATTTTCAGCTTGATGTACTAAACAAGTACAATAGAAACGTATTAAAAACACGATTATATAACACTATATGTACATATGCTTCTTAATCATGCTTACTCTAGCCGTCTTGAAACAGTGTTCAGAATCTACTCCCAGCTTCAGTGAGTGTTATATATGTATTCAGGTTTATTTCCAATTAGAACTACTGCCAGGAAATGTTCTTGCCCTTGTGACACGCACATCACGCGAGCTTAGAATATAAGCTTAAGGACGTGGACACAAATAATATGGAAAACTGATATCGATTCCTTATGTTTTCAGTACAATAGGAAATACACCTTCTATAGAAACAACTGAATCAGACACAACAGGAGCTTCAATGACTAGAAGAAGTTCTTCTGGTGGGTTATTATCACCTGAAGTTGAATTAGGAGGTCAGTATTTCTAATTATTTTCATAATACTTAAAAAAACATGGTTTAATTTTAATATCTGTTTGTATTGTTGATAGGTCAACCAGGCCAGAAAACTGGAGAAGAACAAGAAGGATTTTATTTACTGAAGAAAGATAGTCAGAGGAGAATGACGCTTACCAGAGTCCTCACACAAGATGAGGCAAAAATCTGTGAAGTGTGGATGAGAGGTATACATCAGGCAGAGGGTCAAACTGTTCTTCAAATGGTAATTACTCTTACAACATTACCAGTATCAAGTGACTACTTTCCATGACAGTTATATTTCCTCTTCTAGAGTCAGTTAGTACTGCTAATGCGAGCTTTGAGGGATTATATTGCTGAACAAAATCATGAAGTAATCGTGACGGCCATTAGAACATTGAAAGAAGAATTGGATTTCGATTCCACTGCCATCAATCACCTAAATTTAGCCATTTATCTCTTTCAAACCGCTGTGAACGAAGTTCTGCGAATGCATAGCATAAAACCTCATTGGATGTTTGCATTGGACAATTTGGTCAGAAATGCAGTTCAAGCAGCTATCACCGTACTCTCTCCTGGTAAGAATTTAATGACGTTATGTTAAACTGGATATGAATTGTGTACGTCTATTAAGTATAAATATGGAGATGAAGCGTATTATCGTGTCAACTCTAAAAATATCTCATAGTAAAGTCATCTCCAATAATAAAGGACTTCTTGCGAATCTAAATCTCAGTGAGCAGATTGCTGTTCTTCATACTTGTCGTTGTCATCATATTATGTTCAATCTGTCATTTGTAGAACTTGGTGCCAATTTGCTTGGTCAGGAACGCGCGCAACCAGGTGGTCAAGGACCTGAAGAAGGATCCACGTCTGGTGTATCCACGGTAAACTCTGTAAAATCACAGAAAACCGGCGATTCCATTGACAACAAGTACTGGAAAGAGTACCGGGATCAAATGGGAGATTTGAAAATGGAGAATATGAGATTACTCCAGGAATTACTAGAAAGCCAAAAAGCGTATCAGGTCTTGTTGCAGCAGGCTGTTGAAGAGCAAAGAACTCAGGTCAATACTTTGACACGACTCTGTGAAAATATTAATAGGACAACTATGAGACAGGAATCAGGGTAAGATTCGTGTTTATTTCGAGACTTAATTTTAAAGTGCAATTCGAAGAAACTACTTGTACTTGTAGATACCATTCATCTGTATCTGGAAACGTATCTAATCAACCACCACCAACGATTGTTAGTGACATGTCTTCTGATACAATTTCCTGTACAGACGAAGCTCTTGTAGAATGGCTACAGAATCTCCAGATTGATGAAATGTCGATTGAAAGGGTAAGTACATATTACGATTGATATTCCAATGTGTCATCTGTTGAGTCACTTGTATTGGCATGACTGTTTTTGTTTATAGTTTATATACGAACAATATACATTAGAGGATATTTTGTGTCACATAACTCGTGACGATATTCGCAGACTCAATCTGAGGTAAAAAAAATTACTGTTTTTAATCCCTGTAAAGTATGTATACTTATATTCTTCTCGTTATTGATAAATTGTTTCTTTAGAGGAGGTACTGAACTGAGGATATGGCTAGCAATCTTGAAGCATCGACAAAGTCACGATGAATAAGCGAAGAGACGAATGTAATCGAGTACAACGTTAAAATTGGTCAACTTTATGCAGGGTAAAATGTTCAAACCGTGGTTGTCGCGGAATGGTGACGAATACTGAGCAGAGTTATTAGATGATTAAATGATGAACGAAACACCTGTGTCGTTTGTTAGACTGATTCTTCGCAGAGAGTTTTAAATGCACAAAATGATATTATTAGTTTATCTTGTAGTTCCTAAATGTAGAGTGTTTAATAGTTACGAGACAGGTGTGTACATAGGACAATGTTTGCATATATACCGATTTGTTGAATGAATGAACTTGTTACAGTTGAAATTTACGCAATCCGTTGAGAATATATGTAACGACTGAGTGGCATAGAAATTAGTATTGTTGCGTCGAATAAATTTATAGACCGTAGTCGAGTGTGAGCAAAATTTATGTAATTCGAAATGATTGATTTTCACTCGATTCGTTAGACTAAAATATTGTTCTTGCCAAGTTTACGAAATCGGTATCACTATTCGAAAAAAAAATTACTGTTATTTATCTAAAAATTGAACGACTCTACTGCCACAGGAAACTGATACTATATTGGAAACATATTTACACGTTTACAAGTAAAAAGTTGCCTTGCACTTTCGTGTTTTAAGAGACCTGAAGGCCTCGAAAAATCACGGTTGCCAAACAAACCTAACTTAAACGACAGCTTGTGCATGTTCAACGTTTATTTGCACTTTGCGTCAACATAAGACACATTAAAACGAAGCAAATTGTAAATCGTAGTGCCTTATAATCCAGTCTAATAGTACAAGAGAAGATATTTATTACGTGCAAACGATCACGTTTTGTTATTATATGTCTAGATCTCCGAGGATTCATGCGTCTTCCCGGATGCACATGAAAAAATATTCTTGCGTGTCGGTAGTTATGTATATACAGTGCCTGTTACAGTTTGTAAAAGAGGTTTGCAATTAACAACGCCGAAGAGTCAACTTACGTTTTACGGATTTTTATATAACGGCAGATTTCATGCTTTCTTGCACAATCATTTGTGCAGAGAACTCATGCTTCCTTTATACAGTGCATAGAATAACAATACGACAGTGTCTTCTACCGCTTTATCGCAGTGATAGATCGTGATCATGCGAGTCAATTGATACAAGTGCCTAAACGCATCAGGGATACGCGTGACACCGTTTCAATTATATTGTACGTTTAATGCGTGTCGATCTAAGTTTCGCATCAAATACTGTTCAAAGCAATTAGAAGATAAAAGGATTACACAGTATTGCAGAATGAGAGGATTCGTTATCAGTACATACGTATGCTCCACAAATAGATTCCGTTCTCAAATGCTCTCACGACGTCTCTCGCTATAACTTGCCTTCCTTAAATAATAATGAGATAAGTACGATTAACTGAAATTGCAACGAACAGACTACCTTTTTTGGATTACTCGTTTACACATCAATTTAGCGTGCTCTAATCCGTGGAAACACCGTACCTCCTGGCGAAATATTACTGTATCAAATGCACGATATGTGTTATATTCTTCTCAATCATCCAACTCCTCTAATTGCTTCGAGCGGCGTATTTCTACAATAAGTAGAATTTTCAAATTATTCAAAGATTATCTGCCAGAGCGTTTTAATCGCGTCCCAAGTAATTGCGTTTAACGACAATAACCCTCAACGCAAAAATCTCGACTAATCGTTAAGACGTTCCCCATTGCTGTCCTCATTCATTGTACCCTTAAGATTAATTATCCTCGTTATTCTTGCAGGCTGAAATTCGTAATAAAGATTCCAGCAAACAGATAACTGCGTCTTTCATTCCTCATTTCCCCAGTTATGGTGGATAGGAGGGGTCCACGGAGAGAGGAAAAAAATGGCACCTTGTAATTGAAATTGAAAGTAAATACTTATACTTTATAACAATTGATTTGAGCTGTTTTTTTTTTCCTTTTCGTACAAGCTGAAGTCGAATGGAATCGTTGAACATCTTTAATCCGCGGAATCAATGGATCTGATTGGTAGATTAACAAAATTTCGCGAATGAAGACGTGAATTGGAAGACGACAATAGTGAATCAATGAACTCACGGATTTCGGAAAGTGAGAATTAAACTTCGACACAGTTCGATGATCGATATCGAAATGAGGGATAGCGTCATCTGTCTTTGAACGACCAATTGATTTCGCTCCGACTATAGCCTTCGCATTGATATGGATGAGACGTTCTTTCTTTATCCGGTTGCGATGCTCCGTTTAAAAGATAAGCCGAAATAGATTCACAGCTCATCGACAGGGAAAGCCCACGGGCGTTTTTCTACGGGCTTTTCTCTTTTCCTCCGGGATTACCCACGCTACGATACGGATCTGGTGTCGAAAGGGGTGGGGGGGTTGGTTAACGTGTAGTCGCGCTTTCAGCGCACGATTTCGAAATCTTCCCCCTCCGTTCTCGTCCTCCCTCGTTAATTCGCGGAGGGAAAAAATCCGGCTGGGAGAGTAGTTTAAATTTTTCAGGAAAACGAATGCAACCGAACAGCCGACGAGCGTAAAATTGCAAAAGTTTCGGACGAGGGTCCGGACCTATTCATTTGCACTACAAAAAAGTCGGTGGCTTATAAACGCAACCCCTTCTCCCCCCCACCCCCCACCCTCGAACCAGTCGCTTATTTTCACTGTCGAGGTCCTCTTTTTCTCTTGCTTCATTTTTCCTCATCCCCTATTTTGCCCGTTCGTCTATTCGTTTCGATGCATCAGTCCGGCGTACAATCCCGTCCAGACCACCCGTATGGAATATTTAGGATATCGCGCGATATATTCCCGTTTATTATTCTCGTTCTTCTATTTTCATTGTCGCATAAGAACGAAACAAATATGAATATTTGCCACTTTCGTCGAACATCGGTCTTGATCTCTGGGTAGAAATATGTATTTCGATGTTCAGTCACGAATGACGACGCATCATCTCCCCCTGTTTCGTGCACGGAACATTCGATCGAAAGGAAGTTTTCTTAACATTGTGATGTTTGGATGAGGTGAGTATTTTTTCACGCTGTCAGGGCAGGTTCGAGGGGGTCAAAAAAACGTGTTATTGCAGCGATCGCAAGCATCCATATATCCCTCGTGTTCCTTCTGGTTTATCCACATTAGCAATTTCATTACTGAGTCGAAGACCCACGATCAGCCGCGCCTTTGCGAATATATATGTTAATGTTACTTTGTCAGGCTTCCGCATAAATTACGGTGGTGCTCCCGTGAAATTCACGAAACACGTGGACAGGGCTGTGGACCAATGTTCGCAGTGTTTTCTTAATCCAACCGAAATTAATTAAAAAAAAAAGTTGATATACACATACATACTTTTTGTTTACCATACATATCGATTGAACTGAATTGAACATATCGATATTCTGTTAATTAGAATTTCACAACCTTGCGTAAGACCGATCGGATTGTACGCTTTAAAGTCAGTTGTAATTCGACGAAATGGATCCAGGGGGCATTAAATGCTAATCTTCGAGCATCGAGATCGACGAATAAAACGAGAAAGGGTTGTTCGCCGCGATTGGGATACAAATCCCAAGCTCTCTGGTCGTCCCTTCGCTCTATCCGCTAACTCTCGTTCTCCCTTTCCTTTTTACCTTTTAATTAACTAACTGCCGCCGGCGGAGTAACTAGAGAGGATCCGCGATTTTCGAGCACAAGGCTTTCAGCGCGCCGCGCCCGAAATAATCCATTTGCTCCGAGTGAAAGGCTAAATAAGATTATCGCGTCAGGTTCCGTCACTTTCGCGGACAAGAGAGAAAATGAGATGAAAAGAAGCGAGGATTCGTAATCTCTTTTTCACTTCCACCTAATTGATTTGCAATTTCTCCGACGCGTACTTGTACGAAACGAATTATGGAATCGGCTCTTTATCTCGTCGCAAAATCGACCACACGGTTGATCCTTTCCGGAAAATCAGTTTGCTGCGAAATCTCGTAAGCGAATGATTTGCTCTCCGATGGATTAGGGAAGCAAGGATTTTGCATTTCCTCGAGTTTCCTGTGGCTACCGAGCGTAGAATTCTCGTCGACCAATGGTTTCCTTCGAGGGATTCCACTGAAGCCCAGACGCGAAGAAAAGGAGGTAAAAGGCTCCGTCGATATGACGGTTAATCTGTCCCCGGAAAGCGAAATCATCCTTTCACGGGCGTTTTCCTCGATGCAGACGCACCGAGGAGGAACTTATGAACGTTTCCCAGGGGATTATGGACGGGAACAATGAAGGCTGACTCTCTTTCTCTCTCGCTCTTCGTCTTCTCCGTTTTCCACGGGGTGACACCTTGTTCGTCGGGACTAATTACTTTCGGCTTAAAATCCTTAATTTGTTGCTGAAAGGCCGACGACAGGCTTCCCTCCCCCGCGACAGCTCCCCCGATAAAATCTTTCTTTCACGTCTTTCTCGTCCGGCTCCAGCGGCGTCAAAGACGTTTTAAAAAGATGATTCGTCGGTGAGGGATGGGGACCGTGCGAAAAGTGGATAGGAAAAAATTAAGACGGACATAACGATCTCGATGGATTTTCTTGATAAAAGAACTGGGAAAAAATACCGCTGACGTTCACCCCTTTCCCGAGGGGCGAATTCACGCGATTTTGTACCTCCCGATTAATCTTGACTCCAAAGAGTCTAGCAGGGTAATCATGGACAAGTCCCCGAGTCAATTTTTGTAGTTATTGTTTGCTGAACAGTGTTCTTTATCCGAAACACCATTCTGTAAAATTTCAAATCGCTACGTTTAAGGGTAATATAGGGGTAAAAGCCCTGAACTTCATAATTTTTTTTCTCGTTCACCACTTAAGATATTTAAATGGAACAAGAACGAAAAAATAGCTAAATATTGGCTCTACTTCATATATATTTTTCCAGAATTGCGCATCAATTACTAATTGTAGAAAAGGAATATTTTGTTTGGTATCACTCAAAGGGTTGCTCAACAAAAACCACCCACCAAACAATAAATCATACTTTTTTCTACTCGTGCATATTAGTTACGAATTAATCGAGGATCCCTGTTACATCCCAAAGATAAAGCCCGCAACAACGACCACTTCTTTAGCCGTGGGTAACCAGCGTCCTGAACCCGAAAGGAAAATTAAAATATTACAAATTACCCTCATTCTCACCCTCGCTCCGTTTCCCCTCCCGAGATTCTTCGTCGTCGCAATGGGGGGGCCCCCGAGTAACAAGAAAAAAAAAAATAAATGGATCTCATTCTCTAATCCCCGG